AAAGAGTGACAAGCAGAGGGTTAGGGCCTGAAGAAAGGGCTATGATCAAACAAACTGACTTCCAGTCCCATTCTTGGCTTGCAGAGTGTAGCATGTGTGTGATGAAGCAACGGTGTAGCGCTGCTGCTTATAGTGTCAGAAAAGGGTGGGTATTATTAAAAGTCCAAGCACACAGCCAGAGCAACGGGAAGCTTGGATTTCTGCTTCGAAGGAGAAAAATCAGGTATTAAGGGTCTAAATACAACTGAAGAAATGTTTCAATCAATATTCAAAACTAACTCTTCCACAGTGATACGAAATAGGAGACACTAACAAGCTCATGTTTTGGTGACCTTTTTTGTTTGTTTGTTTTTAAAGCAGTCCAACACTTATCCCAACTATGTAATGAGGTCTCTTCTCTGCTTCTTCAGCTATAAAAAAAACTACAAAAAAACTACTCAAAAAAAGTTCCAACAGTGCTCAGGACTTTTTCCTTGACTAACATAATTTGCTTTTTTTAGCCATTAGATGGTGCTAAAGAGTAGCACAGCACCTGAAAGTAGGCCTTTCCTAAGGAAAAACCAACCTTTGTGCTTTTAACATCTCATTTCTTCTGTTCATTAAACAAGTTCACTGGCACATTCTTTTCTGCTTGCAGCCTTCTACCCGAATTGCCGCTGTGAAAGAAAACGCTCCCGCAAATGCCTGTTTTCATACCTGCTGCTTTGAGAACTGCTGCCAGCTTTGTAGAGCCCCTTCCAGCTGCTATGTGAAGAGCAGTTGTCCCATCATATGTAGTGCTGTCCACATCCGCATCACCCTAAGTTTTTATTGAACGACAAAAATAAAAGTCCTACCCGTCTATACAATACAGCTGCAGAGACTCATGTCTGCATACACATCGCTACCGCGCAAGTAAGCACCAATTCCATGCCTGTTTGCATAAAAACTTTAATCATTGTCTGAAAAGAAGGAACTAGAAAGTAACTACAAGTTACAAAGTGCCTGCAGGAACAGATGGCGGTCTCACGCTCCAGTGTTACAGCAGGAAGCACAGCGTATAAACCCAAATGGGTCAGGTAGATAAAAGCCACTTTGCATCCCATGTAATAGTTCTGCCGTCTGATTACCCGCAGCATCTGGAGCCTGAGCTGCTGTGCACAGAACTCTGCCTTCCCGCTGCTCCTCAGGAGAGCGGGCAGGCTGGCCGCGCATTCGTACGCAGATACCGAGGAGGGCTACCGCGGCCAGCTCTGGGTGTGTACAACTAAGCACGCTAGGATCGACAGTTAAAGAGATGACACAAATATTTATAGATACACACAACTATCGACGTGCATCTCTATCCACATTCCATTTCACAAAGATGAAGCGATTAACTTGTTTGCGGGTAGTTTCATTGGCTGCCAGGATTACTCAGTGCAAATTAAACATGGCATATGCGGTCAGGTCAGGGTCACAAACTGTTAAATTCCTCAACTTGGGCAAAAGGTTCACCAGCAGTGCTGAACAAGTAATAATAACATTAGTGATAATTTTCCCATTATACCAATTTAAGTAATCAAGTCAGTAAATGGGGAAAACCCCTTACTTCTCTTCCTCTGAAGCACTTAAGGATTTTCAAGAGTTTTTAAACATGTAAGTGAAAAGACCTGGGAGAAAGAAATTCTGCCCTTACCTCAAGCAAAAGGCAGCCTGCCAAAGGGATGTTCTCGTGTTCAACAGCTAAATGCAAGGCAGTGCGTCCAGATTTTTGTTCCTGAGCGTTGACATTAACTCCAGCAGCAATCAGCTGTTTGAGGCAGGACATGCTATTTGCCATCACCACCATGTGAATTGCACTGAGACCTACACAAAACAAACCCCATCCATCGTGCGCATTAATATTTGAAAAATACGGAAGTGGCAGAGTAAGGAGTTTTGAAGTGGCCGCATCTATGAGAATTGTAAAATGAGTGAGAGTTACTGTAGTTATCTGAGCGCAAGTGACTTATTTTGCCTCCTTATACACTAAAAGGTGGTCTTAATAAAAAAGTTCTTTGTGTATAAATAGGAACTAGTTGTGTTATTGATGGCAAGTCAAAGCCATGCATGGGGGCGGGGGGAGGGGCTGGATCAACAAATTACAAGGTGGAAAAGAAGGCAGGAACTTAAGAGCTCACCTAGAGCATCTCTTTGCCTCAAAGGAGAGTAGCCTTAAAAAGAAAATCTGCACCTTGGTACTAAACAAATAGGTACCCTGCACTGGCCCCATCTGCTACTGAACATCTCTTCTAGCAACATTCTGGAGAATAACTGCTATTTTTAGTATCACCCTCCTGTAAGGTCACACTGCCCTATCACCTCAACGTTACCTGCACTAGCTCAAAAAGAAAATAATAAAGCCTTGTATTTAAAAAACAACCAACCCACCCCAAACCAACCAAACAAAAAAACCCCTCTCTCTGAGGAACTTCACACAGTCTTTTGATTCCCATAATGACATTTTTAGGTCAGACATTTTACAATCCACTAGAGCAGGAGCACTAAATTCAAATGACCCGTGCCACTGAAAAATGGGAGAATTGTGTCTTTGTTATTTTATAGGCTCTAATTCTGCATGGTCACAAAGTACCAGATATGAAACTTGACACTAGTTGAGGAATTATTTTTGAGGGGATTTCATTCACTAGAGAGTAGGAAACATTTTCTCCTGGGGGGATTTTCTTTAAAAACAGTGGTTGCATAAGGTATCTCAGGAGGAACAGAGTACTTAAAAGTTTTGTGAGATTAAAAAGAATATACAGTGACAAAAATTCAAATCCATACTGCATCACATGGCCATTACCAATCTTTATGTTCTGGGTTAACCAGAAAACCTACACGTCTGTGTTCCCTCATCTGTGACTGCAGGCACGTAAAAGCCAAGGGTAGCACGTGCAAAATGGGGAAAGATGGTATTTCCAAGGTCTGTGTCTACCTGTGTAAAACCATGGAGTTGGCAGGAATTGAGGTGCGCTTGTTCAGTAGGTAAGTGTAAAATACAGCCATTTCCGTACCTTCACCATTGGAAAGGTTGATCATCGGAGATATCTTCTCATGTTTGAGGAGTAGACTCAAAATCTTGTCGTCTCCTTCAGTAGCAGCTAAATGTAAGACAGAATTACCATGGCGATCCAGAAGGCTGACGTCTGCTCCAGCCTTCAGCAAGTCTTCTACCACCTCTGCCTGCTTTGTGATTACTGCCAGGTGCAAGGGGGTCTGGAAGTGACAGAAGCAAGGCATGAGAGAGAAGCAACAGCTACATCACTGCTACAGAAATCTCTTAAACCCATAAAAGCTCCTAGTGTGAGAAGACGTTAGTCCACTTCAAAGCTAACAGAAATGAAAAGCTTGCATATGCGTACATTTTTTCCTGCATACTGCACGCTACAAACAGGACTTCTGGAAACACTGGAAATAAAAGCTGCCTTGCCAGTGTCAGCAGTTGGACTTTGGGAGGAACAAAGATGTTGCCTACTCCTGTAAGCCAGGGCACTGACCTGGCTATTTGAACGTTGTGGTGCAAGGGACTCGGGAAATGAGATGATCCCTGTGCCCCCCAGGCACTGTAACCCTGCTTCCAGCTGCCCCATAGCCAAGTTCATGCCGCAGAGGGAGCACCCGCACTTTCCAGGGCCTGCTCAAATCCACCTTTGGCACCGAACTATGCTCTAACATTGCTCCTGAATAGGGGGTTTACAGCCAGGGGCTTGGGACTTCCTTATCCCCCCAAATGACTCTGCACAGAAAAGGAGAGAACCTTGCTGTTCTGTGCATTTGTCAAAGCGCAGAACAGCTGTGTGTTTACGCAGCGTGTGTCTAGCCTAGCTGATTCTATTTGTGTGTTCTCCATTCTTGTGCAAAGACACATGCAGCACTGAGAGGCTCTCAGACCGAGAGGTTTCCAGTATTTCCAAAGATCAAGTGTATACTGCATGCCCGACACTCTTGCCAGTGAAGAGCACCATGTAGAACACACTCAGACATGTATTTAAACAGTAAGGCATTCCAGTAAGGTTTGGCAAATCGTATTTCCAAAGACTAATTCCAGCTCTGTACAATAAGCTTGTTTGTCAATACATTTGTCAACATATTTGCAATTAATTACTCAATCTATAGGGTACATGTATGACCCAGCTTTCAGAATACCTGTACAGAAGGAAAATTCTAGCCCAAGCCTACATTCCCTCCCACCACTGGCTTAAGGTTTAAGAGAAGGTAGGAAGGTCCTGGTAGTAAAGATTTATTTCTTGTATGGAGCACAGCTTTGCTTCCTGTTTCTGTTAAACAGAGGGCACAGAATTCAATTCCAATCTTCTGCTTGCTTTCATCAGCCTCCACATTTCAAACTTGCTTTATATGAGCATAAAAATGAAATGCTAAAGAGAACAAAAAAGTCAAAATAAACCCTCTGGGACTCTCTCTGTAGAATAAAATCCCGCCTTGACTCTTCACAGCAAAAGAAACGACACAAATGTCAGAGCGCTGCCGTGTCACATCCAGCTGGTTACCTTGCGGACAACCGAATGGCAGGCACAGTTGAAAAGAGAGGCTTTTCCAGGCTCTTTTCCACAGCTCTTTTTAAAGCCTGTTTGTGGTACAATACAAAAACCTCAGACTGTCACAGATGAAGTTAAGGAGACAGAATTGTGCCTGGCAGTTCAGAGTTCTCTTCCTACTAGGTAAAAGACATGGAGATGGGGATTTTTGTTGTTTCGCTGTAATGTGAATCTAGAAATGAAAGGGAAATTTTGGTGCTCGTGTGATAAGCACAAATGCCATCGGGACTATACGAAGGGCATAGTCTGTTACAGCTTCCACATGCCCCCAGATAACTGATGATGCAGCAACTGACTCATGATCCCGAGTTATCCCAGGTTAGAAAGGTCAAAAGAGCCCAGAGTTGGCACACTAATCCATACCACCGGTTTAATAACAGAGAAGCCAAATAATAAGACAGGAACTGAAGAATTCCGTATTTTTGGCGTGTTCTACGGTTAACCCGCGGAGACATTTCTGTTAACATCAAGGGAAGTTATGAACTAAAACAGTGAAAACATGCCCTTGCTCCTCCACCACCTTACAGTGCGTCATTGTGTTTCTACACTTGTTTGCATTATAGTCTGATCTGGGCTCATTCCAACAAAGAGAAGCGAGACAGACGGTAAGTTGTGCAATTTCTTTTTTGCTGGCTGAACAATCAACACCACTTACACCACCACAACAGCGTACCTGATAAAGGTCATTTCTCATGTTAATGATGTCATTATAATTCAAATCAGGCATCACTTCCAAGAGGTTTTTCACCAGCTCAGTATGAAGGTGGATAATTGCTAAATGAAGGACACTGAAACAAACGAAGAACAGATTAACGAATTCACATTATTCTCAAATTTATTATAAAAAAAAGTTAAGGTTTTGCTGTAGATCTGATTGAATTCTAACTGATATAACACTTGCCTATTAGAGGTCATGATTCCAGCACTAAATATCAGCACCTAAAATGAATCCCAACATTAAAAAATGCTAGTCGGAAGATAACTGTGAAGGATTAAACTTCAATCATAAAACCAGACTCGGGATGGCTTTTGCTGGTCCTGAGCATAACTTAACTAATAAGTCTAATAAATACAAACTTTGTATCACAAAAGAATTGTTTCAGAATTTGTTTGAAATACCCAGATTCTTTGCTGGTTTGGTTTTTTTCATGTTTTGAATTATGCAGCACACAAACACCTCTTACTGTCAAAACCTTCCTTCAGAATTTCCACAGGCCTCTCTGCCACCAAAGCAGATTTTCCCTTGGGGGTTTCCCCAGATCTGTGGGTTTTTCTTTTCTTCCTTTTCAAACAGAAAAATGACTGAGGACTCAGGCCTGGTGACTAACAGCCACAGGATTTGCAGCAGTGGCCAGAGACGTCATGCCAAAGGAAAAACCTATTTTGGGACGTGAGTGACTCTGCATAGCAAGACACTGCACCACTTCTCCCAGGTTAATGCAATGGCCTTTCCCGTGCCCTCCTCCAGGGCCGGGCCCTTCACCACCACCCAGAGCGGCCGGACTCGCAAAATGACACCAGAAAAAAGCAGGTTGCGAATCCCATCACCAACAGAGCTCGCTTTGTCTTGTTCCTGTGAGACTTGGTTTCAAAGTCATGCCCTTTGTTTTGAAATGTATCTTGCCAAGCTCTTCCTTAACAGATGCTGGCCAACTTCTAGACTCATCTTTTTGGCGTATTGTTGCTGACACACAATATCAACATAGGACATGTGGTGTGTTTGTTATGCTGCTCCACAAATACCTGAATATACTCAGATCTACACTTTCATCAGAAAAATAAAAAGAAGTTCCTTGCCATTCGGGGCATAGAGTCATCTTGAAATTGAGACCGAGAGCACTCAAAACCAGAAGGTATTTTAAGAAGGGGAAAAAATATGATTTCTAAACCAAACTCATCCTCAAAGGGCCTGCTGATTGGTGCTGGGCACTGCCATAGGCAGTACCAGGCACTTTCCCTCCTTCAACTCTCCTGCGCTGCTCAAACGGTCCCACCACCACCGTAAAAGAGCTGTTCCTCTGCTCTCTGGTAGATGCTTCTTATTATGCTCTATCATGCTGACAGTTAATTTCCAAAGCTCACTTCGGAAACAAATTTTCTCTTCTACTGCCTTTAGTTCTCTTTCCTGCAGCAAGTATTTTAATTTTACCCTGCCACTACATGTGATGCTGTAAAGACATGCTGACTAGACCATGAAGGGGCAGTCAATTCCATTATTCTTAAACAGTCCTACATCAAAAAAATGCATTTCAGCACCGCTGCGTCAGGCTTCTGGAGAGCAGTGGTACTGGTACAAATGCAGTAACAGCCGGTGTGACTGAGTGCCCACTGTAAATATACACTAATCACACATTAACGCATTTCGTCTCAAAGCCATAAAACACAACACAGGTCCCATTAAAGGTATATTCATTCCCTACATAGTACTTTGATGAAAGAAAGGTGAGCAAAATTGCTGACAGCAACATTACTTTAAAGGCTTACGCAAAAATTTTATAGTTGTTGCCATATAATTTTAATGATTCAAGTGAAAATTAGAGAAATTGATAGGGAAATTTATTTATGGGGTTTTTTGTTTGTTTTTGTTTGTTTTATTTTTTAAAACCAGCTCCTGCAAGAGAGCTAGAAGACAGTCACCAAAACAAAGTTTTGTTAAAAAGCTGCAGAGTAATTTAGGTGTATTACATGCTCACAGTCTAAAATCCTTCCCAGGAGAAAGACAACATGAGCTTGAGCCTCACATACTTGCAGGTACTTCTTGATCCAGGAAGAAAACAACTATTTACCATCATTCTGAAAAGCATTTTGACTTTGTTGAAATGCCCTGCAAGTCGAAACCTGAGGGGCACCTTATTGATATTTAAATGCAGGTCCTACTTGCTCAATATTCTTCTACCCCATTTTTTTTTTTTAAAAAACACAGAAGCTGTATTGTCCAAAGTGCGAGCAGATTTTGTTGCTAGCTCCTGCCTTGTTCATATTCCTGCCTTCCTCAAAGCCAACTGGAAAGCAAAGCAAGTGAAGAAGCTATCTCTGATTTTGCAGTCCTTTATCAGTAATCTGAGACCTATTTTCACTGAAAGTGGAGTGAAAGCACTAGCTCTCACAGAGTAACCGAACAGTGGGATAGCATGTCTCAGTCACTTTTAATTTTCCATCTAGCTGGACATCTTAAGGCTTATATGGCTTCTACTGTACAAAATACTGCAATTTAAGGAAACATAAATGACTGGGATTGCACAGGGCCTGCCCAAAGTCTGCCAGTTAAAAAGTGAGGATGTGATAACATCACTTGCTTAATCAAGAGATTATCTTTGCATGTGTCCAGAGCCACTTCCACTAAATTTGCTTTTAAATAACTACTAATCATTAGTTCCTCACTGTATTTCACTGAGTCCCACAGAACCTGCACAGCTGTAGAGGAAAAAAATCGATTTCCACTCCAGCTCACATTATTAAAGGACTGATAAGCAAATACTAGCAGCCAAGTCTGCCACAAACATCCATGCAATCTCTTGAAAGACAACCGTACAGTACAGATGTAAGCAAGAGCAAAATATCGTCCTCTGGGAAGAACCTGGTGTCAGTGGGAGAAAAGCAGCACAGACCCTCCAGCTATTATTTCTACGTCTCCTGGTGCATCTGTAACTTAAAGCTTCCTATGAAGACTTAAGGACTTGCACGGAATAAAAAGCAGGGCACTCTCCTTCAGCACAAAGCTGGGTATCCCCACCAACTGTGTATCATGATGCAAGCATAGCACTTCATGCTTAGTCAAGATTTTAAGTAAAAAAAGGCAAACAAACTCACAACATGCTCAACATACCCTCAATGACCAGATTACTTTCTGACAGGTACTGGATCAATGAACTTTGTGGTGTGAGTGACTTTTCTGCAAATGCAACAAAAACGTCTAAATTGCAGCCGTATCTCTCCCAAACAGCACAAAGGACAACGGTATTTGATTAGAGCAGTGCTGCAATCCATGATCGGCACCCACAGGGGACAGAACAAATTGACCACACCATTTTGCCATCAAAAACATGACTTTCAACCCAGTAAGTATAGGCCAACTTACTTGTCTCCATTATCATCCTGGACGACAGTGAGATGGCGCTGAACAGCCAACAGCATCTTCACATCTCCAGTTACAGCATAATCAAAGAGAGCATTGCAGTGACGCTTGGCAAGCTGCATGGCCTTCTCCAGGAACAGATCATCTGCAACACAAAGTTCTATATTCACCAGTTCGGTTGTCTTCCTTGCAACACCACCTTCTCTTGACAGGCATTTGTGCTGCCAAAGAAATATGAAGTGCAGACCACCAAGCATTATTTACTGATTCACTGAGACAGGTTGCTAATTACTCCTGAGAGGTAAGGATAGAGAGAATGAGTCCCTTGGAAGAAAAACTAGGTGCATGCTGAGCATTCAGGCAGCAAGAATCCTGAGAACAGTCCAACTCTGGAAGCTACCTTCAAGTGGCACCGAATTAACTGCATTGATGTGCTCTTGTGCATAATGAGAGAAAAGGAGCAGGAACTTGGATTTGCTTACATACAAGTGACATCTAAGGACTCTTGTCCATAGAGCACTTAAAAGAACCTCCCATGTGGTTCCAAGTAGTTTAGACTTGAGGAAACTGAGGCACAAGAAGCCTAAGTGACCTATCAATTATTGCACAGAAACTCACAGAAAAGCTATGGAGTAAACACAGGGTTTTGTGCCCCCTCTCTGACTCGAACCATGCAGTCTCTCCTGCTTTACAGCGGCAGCACAGAGAATCTGTTCACCTGTTTAAAACTTTCCAGTGTTTACAATGCTTAGTATTTGTAGCATCCTGGTTTTAGATTTATAAAATGTACAACCACCAAGATTTCAAAAAGCAGAATTTGTCGCAGTGGGGAGGCAAAAGGGAGAAAGGGGAGGAAAAACTCATTGGTGGGAAAAAGTCACTCTAGCTGCTCTGTCAATACCTTCGTGGTTCTGTATCGGCAAGAAACTAATGAAAATGAAACAGATGAACTTTCAAACCACAGTTGTCATTCTGGGAAGCAGTATCATCTGAAACCAGCCTGTATTTTCAACAGTTTCATGTTTCTATAAAACCTTGTGAGGTTAGCAATTACTAACAGCAAACAAGTAAAACAGACTTTGTCATATAAAGCACACATAGGGAGAGAACACCCAGCATTTCCAGCTACACAAAATCAGGCACTTAGACTGGGTTAGAAGCATATCCCTGATGAACATGAATACATCATCTCCGTAAGCCAATGACTTACTTGGCTATCTGTGAAGCTTATTGTTCTAGCCAATACATCACTGTGGCTCCTATACTATATGCCCAGGTTGATATGTTTATATTTGCTATTTACCTTCTAACACTAAATAATAGCATTAAATGGATGTTATGTTCAGGATATATATTCAGGGTAAAGGGTGTTAAGCAATTCAGTCTTTTCTCATTATAGACATTTCCAAAGTCCAAAAAAATGGATGCTGAACCTGCTTGGCTTCCCATATCAAGCACACAGAAAATATATCCTTCAAAATACTACAAAATAGCATCTTTTAGTCTAACACCCAAATGTTCTACCCTGCTGTAGCCACCTCAGAGCCTGTTGTTCTGCTTCTACTCTTCATGTAATCTGGAGCTTGAAATTGGCTCTTTTTGTGCCATTATAATAGATAAAGTAAAGAAACAGTCAACTTCCTGCCTACAATGTTCATTACTTGGAAACCAGGTCAACAATTCCAGCCCCTCGTTGGTGACTGCTAAATGGACATTATTATTTCTTCACATATCAGCAAAAGATTTTGCTCTCTGAATCAGTCATAGGACTTTATCATAACCAAAATGCAAACAGCAAGTTCTTCAGCTTTTCTCAGGAGTACCATCTGTTTCTCTGATCACAAGAAGCCACACCTCGGAGATTTTTACAACTACAACCTGCTACATGACTTTGGTTTCCCAAGTCACAGGTTTTAGTGCTGTTAATAGCAAGTGTCACACAGGGCTGATACACACAAGATAATGTGCCCTCTCCCTGACCAAGGAGGGAACAACAAAAGCGGTCTAGACCACACTGCACTTGGTAAAAGCCAAGAACAAAAAATTCCTTCCTGCTCAATTCCTACCACTACCATGTCTCTCTAGTCCAACTACTGGGTTTTTTTTAATTTTATGAGAAGCATGATTACTCAAATCCTTTAAGAAAGTGACCATCAACTCTTTTAAAAAACAATCCAGGAAAAGGACATCTTACTGTCTGGGAAAGGGCGATTTGTAGTCTTCACATATTTTACAACTCTACTGCTAAACCATTTCTACCGACTACTCTTACCTTCTTCCCCTTTTGCTCACCAGTTTGATATGTAAGACTTTGCTACCCAACACTATTATTTTAGTATTTGTTACATGGGAACAGATACATTTACATTTTAAATTAAAACCTTTAACACGACTTTGCACACAATTTAACTGTAGAATTGCGGGGAAGAACTACTGCAACAATGACGCCAACATCCATTTATTCATTCATTCAAGCCTATCAAATATCAAAAGCCAAGTCAACTGCTGAATTGTATTCCATGTACCTTCACTGCTTTCAGTGTTCCTCATACAGGTTTCTTATAAAGCGTACCCAGCAGGCTAAGCTATCTCTTCTCCTTGCATGACAAGCAGAAGTTCAGTTGCCCAGTGGCAGTACAAAGGTGGAAGATTACCTACAGAACTATGTATGGGGAGGGACCTTAGATTTGGCAGAATGGAATCCCTCCTGTTTTCTCCAGGAGGCATTATTATATTTTGAAACCAGCAAGCAGATGTTTATGGAGTTTCCAGGCCTTTAACACCAGCTTTGCCCATACTGCAGTTTAATCTACGCTAAATACATTTACTTGTTCACTTACCCTGCCACCTGCAATCTGCTTCATTTACTTCAGTGTTACAGGAAGAAGCAGCATCCTCCTTCTCCTCGTTATCACCAGAGGTTCTGCACTCATTCCTCTCCATAGTTTCCACTTTCATATCATGTTTCATGTCCCATTTGACACTTTGCTTATCAGAGCTCTTCCCATCTTGTTCAGCCGTGCTATATGATAGCCCTTCAAACAAAAATCAGAATCGTTAGTGTCCAATACCGTAACTTTTTTATGCAAGCGATAAAGCTCAACTAGCCATAACCAAACCCTAAAGAAGTCAATACAAAAATTTACTTTGACATAGACGTTATCATTAAACACTCATGAATCATAATACTCCAGATGCCAACACACATGGACAGACATAGCAATATAACTTGCTCTAAAGTGATGTTATGTTTTTGACAGCCTCTGCTTTAAAGATAAACTTTTATATAAAACAGATATACCTCTCTTTTTATGGTACAAGAACACAAGTGTGAAATATTCCCAGGAAATCTAGCAGAATTATTGAGATTTACTTTTGTTTTTCCGACAGCAAATTAATCCCTGAGACTTCAGAAATAACTACCGAGTATTCAACATGTAGACTTGAAATGACTTCCCTATTTTAGGAAGCCAAGAATGCTCTCCTTATTAACTTAATCTTTTCCATTGACTTTTGTTATGTCTCTGGGCTACCGTGTAGTACCAGAGTGTAGCAACAAAGGAAGATACCCCTTCTCTGGTCTAGCTCTTGTGTCACCTGTAATCAGCATGTTCAAGGAAGTGAAAGGGTTATTGCTTGAAACATACGCTGAATATAGAAGTACATAGAGGGGGTTTAGTGACTGCTTCTCAGGAATTAGCAGTAAAAAGGAACATGCACACAGCTTTCAAGGTAGACTTGGAGAAAATTAAAGAGAAGCAGGGCAGTAAACCTACACAAGCCCTCTGCTGCCAGAGGTTCTAGAAAAGAGACTGATTCTAGGGGAAAAAAAATCAGGCCTCCCCAGCATGCTTAGCTAGACCTGTATGACACTTCAGATTCTGCTATAGAAGAAAACAAAGATGGTCAAACTCAATACAACTGTTGCAAGGATGACATTTTTACTGTTACCATGTTTCATTCCAGCATTGGACTTTGTTGTGCCAGGGTGGAAATGCATCCCTCCAAAAGCAGAGTATCCATATGAAGGATAACTGAACCCTACAGAAAGGAAAAAGATGAAGAATTAATAGAATTACATCCCAAAGGAATGAAAACACCATCTGGAAGAACACTGAACCTAAAGAACTGAAATTTTGTTTTCTACATACCTTCTGCTTTATGCCATCCGATTAAAATACATTTTCCAGACTGAAGGTGAACTCTTCCCCACCCCTTCAAAAATCAAAAAAAATTCTAGATGGTTGGCTAGCGACATGCTCTATCCCAACATCCCTAAGGCCACACAAATGTATTATCACTCGTATGCTTCATCTAACACTCAACTGAGACTTCACAAGCTACCTCTATGTTTTCGAATCTTTGTGATCACAACAGATTGTTATTCTGGTGTTATGTTATAGATGTGCTGCTAGCAATGCATGTAACAAATTTGAAAACTGCTGCTCTGTCCCCTGCTCTAAAAAGGGTTGCAAAGGTATTGTGGTTCAGATGACACTTGCTGATCTACAGGTTTTTAATGCTCTGCTGCAGGAATCAAAGCAATGCTCTTATGAACCTGCATCTAGGATATGCTCTGGCTTCGAAAGATAGAGCACAGTAGAAAATTTATGAAATATTCTTCCAAATTTTTTAACAGCTCTTTGCACTAACAGGGTTAATTTGCCACTCCTGGTCCCAGAAATAATTAAGAACCTGTTTAATTTTAAGCATCCAAGATGGTACTTAGCTGAGCCATCTCGTGAATTTCAGTGCCTTCAAGGCCCCAGGAAGTAACAAAGCTAAGGCATGATGGATTCCTAACTCAGACTCCCTCAACTAGAAAGGTGTTATCTGTGACAAAGCTTCAAGGAAGAGGAAAAAAAAAGTCACCATGAGCCTTATATCCAAGTAGGAGGGCAAACGAGCTGGAGATATTTAGAAAACAAGGAGATGCTTGACTGAAATGAGTAACACTGGTACAAAGACAGGAGAGTCAGGTCTACCTTATCTACCTAGAAGGAGACAAAATCCTCATCACCTTTTAAAAATCAGAATAAACATCTGTCCTGCTCTCACAGTAGAACCCCTTCCCCTCCTCACCCAAAATTGCTGCCTTACCAGAGCCAGGACCGCCACCTCCCCCTCCATACATGCCACCACCTCCTGCGCCACTGCCTCCACCATAGCCATCAGAGAAGTTTGGCATGAGCTTCTGCCGTTTCCTTTGCACTTCTTCTTTATCTGGGTTAGAAGAAACAGGCAGGATAAGGAGTCACTCTTACTGGTGGCCACACATAGAACAGGTTGTGCATACAGAAAGCATTACTAAAGTTTACTAGTTTACAAAGGAAAATGCAGAGTGCTGTAGAAGAGTCAACTCTCTTCTGGCTCCAAAAAACAGAACAACTTTGTATGTAATGCAGCAGTGAGAATTCCTGTGAGAAACAAGCTAGTGCCAAGTCTCCAGCCAGACCAACAGCACCGCTCAGGCCCACGTGGTCTCTTGAGTTATGTCAGGTGCCTTGTGATCAGACTGGGAGGGAAATGTGCAGAGATGTCTTGGGGGCCTCAGAATTTCCTTCAAAAGCGTCTCATGTACTTAGAGCCCCAGAAATCAGTGGTCCCAAAATTCTTCTATGTCTAAACCAAGTCATAAACCAGCAAAAGTGCACCGAACTTGAACAAGAAAATTCCTTTGGGGAACATAAGCACAGGCTCTTGTACTAAGCAAATCTACTTCAGAAATGGACCCTTATCAAAGGGTCAGGAAATCACAAGATGCTTTGATTTCCAACAGTGCAGAGTACCTGCAGTGCTCTTTGAACTTTTGTTTAAGGGTAAGGATGGCAACAAATTCTGAAAACAACATTTGCTTGAAATGATTTACTTAAAAATACCAGAAAAGCCACCAGAATAAAGATAGCTTATTTTCAGGCAGGACATAATACTGTCAAACCATGCTGAACAGCATTAGAAAAAAAGCCCAAATATTTTTATAGTGTAAGTACAAAGTAATACTTAGCCCCTCTGGAAAGCAAACCACAAAGATTTAAAAGAAGTATCCCAGTGACTGGGGAAAGTGAAAATGTCATGACAAGAGCTACAAAAATAGGGATACAAACATTGCAGGGGTTAAAATCCAGTAGAACTGTTGAGGAAAGAACAAAATATCCTTCCTTCCTTAAACTATCTAGTAGTTTTCAACAGCCATATGACAAAAAGAAATTTCATGCACAGGCACATCAATAAGTGCATCAAATGAGATAGTTGAATACATGAAACCGTGTACTGAAAAGTACAAGCGTGTTATTTCCAGGCATACATGTTCTGTAAGTATGTATGCATGCATACACCAGGCATACTCACACTGAGGAGAGAAAACTCTAGAGAGCAATCTAGTCAGGGAAAGAAACAAAAAATCCACATACGCATGTCTAAGTTTGTGTGAACACTTGCAACAAGGGGAAAAAAACCAGTCCCTAAATGCTAATTCATGATTAGGTTGTGTAGGGGATCCAAAAATGCATTGTTGAATTCATTTTACTCCATTAAGAGGCACCTAAAAGAGGTCTGCTTCAAATCTTGCAACTTTGCTCTGCAGTTCTACACTTCACTTTCCATAAAACTTGTGCAAGACATTCCTGAAACCATTAATGACACAAAATCCTCTAGCAACTCTGGAAGTTTTTGTGAATGCATGCTTTCTGCTATTTTATTATATTAGACATAAAGGAGATTCACTTGGACATCAACTACCACCCCTGCCTCCTCAGCTGTCCTTAGTCCATTACCACTGATGGACACATATTTTAGAGTTTGATAGGGTATTGATTTCAAGACAGGTCTAAGCTAGGCACTGAAAACGTGCAAGATTAGGATTTAATAGTGTGACCTGCAGGCAGGTGAACTGTTAAGCAGAAAGATTACTGTCTTAGTACAATGAAACACCAATTCTGACTTGGGCCCCAAGGCATTTCCATATCATTAACATTATTGATACTTAAAACCATGAATGCTGCTGCCACTCACATCAAACATTTCAAATGTAGACTGTAAAGGGCACAGGTCTGCTAGTTAAGCTTCTTTTCACTGACAACTTAGGAAGCAGGTCTGACGCCAACTATTCTACTTCTGCTAAGCAACTAACATTCTAACACAAGAGACTGAAACAGCACTTTCCCTGCTCTCACAAGAAGTGTCTTGGGCTTACTTAACTAGTACAGGCAATTGGAAAATTCAAAAACATCAGTGAAATTGTGAGGCATGATGGTAAAAGAAGAGAACTGCAAAATACGTACTTTTCCCACCAGATACCAACCAGTCTTTGGTTTAAGGTTTCCTCTGAAAGTAGTGACAGTAAAATGTCCTCAGATAACTATTTTGCAAAAACTCTGAGGAAGAGAGTGCCATCTACTGTATAGACAGACAGGCATGCATGCATATAGGAAACTTGCAGGAAGTAAGCTTCATGAAGAAAATACTCACAGATCTACTGCCTACCAATCCAACAAAAAAATCCTACGAACCCATTACAGAGCTACCACTTTTCATATTAGCTCTGCACAAAACAAGAAGGCAAATACCCTATTTTCTAAAAATAACAACTGCAAAAACAGTCCCTCATCCACCAAGTCCTATCTTATTAAAAACATTCCTAGGGACACTGCAGTTTCTGTTTCCATTACACAAAACAGGTTTAATGAATTACCTTTGATTTCTGGATAGTAGAGAAAAGGCTTTGGTTCACTTGTTTCTAGATCAGACTTGCGACGCAGTTGTACAAATACAGATGCTGGCTTTGTGATATTGACATCTCGATACTTGGGTGTTTTGAACACAATGGCAAACTGTGAAAGAAACAATGATAAGCACATCTATCATGGAGTACAGGTTTAGACAAATTTGCTTTTACATTTGTGTTATTTTGTAGGAGTTGGTTCATGGCTTGGGAGGCAAAAGTTCTTAGCAAAAGGCTGCTACAACAATAAACTTCCATTTTAGTTTTCAGTTGCACTTTTGAGTTTGAGTCCTAAAGCCTTTTGGGAAAGACAGAACTGCCATTCAAAGTATCACCACAACATGTATGTTAATACTGCATTGTTTGTCCCCTCATCATTCAGCATCTATTCTGTGGCTTTCTCAGTGTGTCTGCAGGAGCTCTCAGAGCTTTCTACATATCCTATCCCAATTTACACTGGTGCATGTTAAAGCAATGGGTCTATCTCCCAATTTCCTCACATTGTATTCCTAACCTGCCTAGTTACCTAACGTATGTCTTTAAAGAACAGTTAAGATTGTATTATTACTAGGAAGTAACCAACAAAAGAAGAGGTTAGTAGGGAATACAGATGCTTTCACCTAATTTATTAATTATAATATAATCCCAGTTTACGGAGATGAGAAAATCATTAACAAATGACAAATGCTCTGTTACTTACCTGTCTATGTACATCTGTAGGAGAAAAGTCTCCAAAGCCTTCCCACATACCTCCATTCTCATCCTCTTCATAGAAACGTATTTGAATATCATCTGCAAAGAGCGAAAGACACACTCTTTGGGATGTTTGTGCATTTGTTTAACCTTTGGCTAAGTTTATTTCAGATAAAAATCAACACGGTTATGTTTTGGCTGGATGATAATATTACATGAATAATACATATTATAATATTATCTTTGTCCATTTTATGAAAACATCCTAAAGAACCCATTTTTACATAATTTTAGATCAGCCTAATTCTAATGACGTCACTGAAGCTGCTCTCTATTTACTGAGCCGTAAAAGGAGAACTAGATTCACTACCTCTTCCTATTCTAGGGCTATAAAACATTCCAGAGGAGCTTTATTTGGAACAAACATGTAGGGAGGGGAGAACTTGAAGTGTGAAACATAGAAACCACCCTCTCTCCTCCAACAGTTTCAGTTCAAAAAACTGTAGCAAAACCTGAAGTGCCACGATTCAAGTTCCGCTTGCTGCTGGCAGGGTGCCACTTTGGAGCTGCGGCTCAGAGAGGCGGCAAGGGTGTGAGCAAGCAGCGTGTCAGCAGTGATCTCTCACCCCCCAAACACAGCACGGGCCAGAAACGTGAGATTTGGCTCCTGCTCCTCTAAACAAATTTTCTTTCATTCTCTTTGTATTTATTTATTTATATTTTTAGGAGAAGCTGGGAAATATCGCACTAACATATTCCTTCCCCAGCACTCCTGGTGAGAAAACACCAGAAAAAGCCTATTCTCTAAGGTGACTGACACAGGACAGGCTTTTAGAGCAGACAGACTGCTTCCTCTGATCCACCACCTGCTAGTCTCAAGACTGTGAACCACCACTTCCAGTCCTGCTGTCCTGCATGCTCAAGTTCCTTCAGGCAGGAGGTTTCTGAGAGCAATGAGGTCAGGGGAAACCCCGATCTGGCTGAGGGGAAACCCCACCTCAGGGCTTCCACTGAGTCAGACATTTATTTATTTATTTTGTGTGCAAGAGTTGTTTCATCTCAGTCCTTCTGATAGCAGGGGGTATATACGCTACTGAAGGAAAACAGTTTTTTCAAAACCCCTAAAAGCCCCCAAAGTCCTCTCTCTTTCCTAAGTGGTAGAAGAACATTTGCAAGAAAGAGAGGTGAAAAAGGACAGCCTGTATTAACAGAAAATGTCAGCGTGATTTTGACGACATATGCAGGGACTGATTCCAAACAGGTGAGAACGGGGCACCTGCTCCACCATGCAATCTACAGCAGGGAGTCCCAGATACTACCTATAGCCGAAAAATTCAAAGGATTTCCCTCACTCTCATTTTTTTCTTTTTATTTCAGCCCAAATACTACAACCAATCACGTTAAACATTATCTTCCTATCCAAAAACAAAGGATCCAAATCCACACTGCCCAATCCTGACACATTCATAGCCATGAGCAGAGATTACCAAAATGAGCATGTGAGGAGTATTTCTTTACACCAAGCAACCTCTACTGTTAGCATATACATAAAAATGAAGTTACTAGCAACAGTGCTGAACACATTCCATTCCCGTCGGTTCTCATCCCAACAGAGAATGCTCATACCTACTCTTTAAAATCAGGAACTTAATAATAAATCAGAAACTTCTGAATAATTTCACAGCAGGTGTTAGTTAATGGAGTCAAACATCACCCAAGACCCACCACCCACAAAAACCACAGAACAAGGGCAAGGGCAGAAATCTGAGAAGAACAGAGATGATGCATGGTCTCTGTGGAAGCAACACAAGCTGAATTTGCTTTGCAACAGACTATTTTGATTTATTCATTTTCTGGACTGCTGGCCTGTCTTCCAGAAAGGCTGAGTGCCTACCAATCCTGCTGCGCTATCAGAGCGGGAGAATAAGGCAGCACAGCACGCTTCATGTGTACTCCAGATGAACACCCTGGTGTGCCTTACAATACTCGGGACACTTACCTTTCTGAACTTTGTCACAGAGAAGGTAAATCTCTTCCCCTCCTGTTACGCACCCTGCTGTTCTGTCCATTCTTACGATTTTTAAGTTGGAGGCATTGGGAGCTTCTATTGAAAGGAAAGATTAAAAAAAAACCTGCTTACCTTCATAACAGTTTTAGATTTCCAAAAAACCCCAAGCACAACACACAGAAATACAATGGAAAGACAAGCCTCCAGTACAACCTACCAAAATTTGTCTATGTTTTTTTAAAACATGAATAAATCAACAGTTTTTCATCTGAAAGGCATAATCGTGTATCCTCTAGGCTTTGACTGAACTGTGAACTATAAAACAAGGCCCTGGTCATTCCAGCACAATTACTGCACTAGTAAAGTAGCACAGCAGTGAATTCCATCCAGCAGTCTGCACTAGTACTAACTTTATGACAAGAGCACATTACAAGAGAATATAATTTTTTCTTCCCTGCTTTCTTGACAGCGTGACACTCTTGAGAGCTGTTCCCTATATCTCACTATTTGAATGCAATATGTAATGCTTCGCTTTACACTGTGGGTTACTTGAAAGCATTGTCAGTCCTTGGCCAACGTACTGGACAGTGATCAAAAAGCCCACCTCCACAGATCTTAGTAGAAGCATCAATGGATACCTACTGGTCCTCAAGACAGAACTATCACCTGATAAGTAAAAGCAGCTGTGATAGACAGTTATGCTATCACAACTTGTGTCTGTTCTGTGGAAGAGGCTTGAAAGGTGCCAGTGAAGAGTATGAGGAAAAAAAAGAAAACCCGAGAAAAATCTTTTGGAATTGACAACCAAGAATACACCTTGGGAGCTCAGAAACTAGTAACTGACACCTAATGTAGTGACTTCAAACAGCAGAAACATGCATACAAAATTTCACCTCTATTCATCTCCTCAGTTAAGAGTCAAAATTTTGATGGTCAGATTCAGAAGGATAGGATAACTTCAACTGTTTTTATATGTATGGCTTGATACATGCTCTACCTCTGCTGATGCTTTGTCTTACTCCTCCTCTTTGCTTTAAAAATACTCTCTATCATTATGCAGGTGTGAGAGAGTAAGGAAAACAAATAGAAACTGTAACTGTTTCTAATGAAAATCAAGATTCCTTAAAGACTCTGGTTGGTAAATCACCTCAGCATCCAGATGAAAAGATTTGTGTTTTCTCATCCAGAAAATGCAGGTCATGTGTGCCATAAGAACAGCAGACATCACTTTTTTCCCACTCAGTGAATATACGCACAATGGCTGTGCTACATCACTACATTCCCCAATTAATAGCAAGCAACAGACTATATTAGAACTGTCACATTTAATAACTTTTCATCTAGATTTTGTCCTTAAAAAGTGATGAGATAGACATGACTGTTGCACAAAGGAAAAAAAATTGTGTGAGTCATTACAGAATGACTATCAGGAACATGGTAATCCACAACTATAGGGAGGAAAACTCAGGCAGCAGAAAGGGTTCAGGTAAGAAGAGTAAGTATAATCAAAAAGCACAAGAGAAAACATGAAGTGAAAAGATTCACTTAGAGAAAAAGACAAATAGAGGGATGTAACAGAAGTATAAAAAATACTGACAGAGCTAAAGGAAATGGATTGAGAACGCTGGTTGTGTTAAGTCTCACAAAACAAGGACAAGCAGACGGCCAGCAAAACTGAACCATGTCAAATTCTCAACAGGACTGAAGCAAAGTTATTTTTTCCTCGCATCTTGTCTGACAAGGCTTTGTCATATAAAGCAACTGAAAACTCCGCAAAATTCAAGCACTTCTTATGAATATAACAAGAATTTACAAAATCCTTATAATAAAAGTGGCAGGATTAAACATGCTAACAGCAAACAAAAATCTTCCTTTATGGCTTACATTGCCATCTATTAAAAACCAGAATGATACCATGTGTACTTGGACAGATATGGGGCCAATTATCTATGGGCTACTTACCTGTTACTGATCAAATAACAGGGAAGCAGCAGGGCTAAATGAGTCTACATATAGCAATATCTACATATCATTTTTGTATGTGCAAAAGCTTGCCTCTTATTAAAAAAGTAATTAAAGCCAAATATACTTACTGCTGTCATATATTGCATCTGATATAACAGGATCAAGTTTCCGTGTGAAACTACCATTACTGTCAGGGAGAAAGGCTGTAAACATAAGACGCACCACACTGAGATCCATTTCTTTAGTCTGTTGTAGTGCTGCCTGACGAATAATTTCTCTTTCTCGTTCTGGAACCGATAAGTAGACAGATGAATTAACACAAGGAGTAGGGGACCCATAACAAAACAGAGACCGCATTTTCCAAACATTACGATCAAAAGGCACCAACAGCAAGCAAATGTTTTCTTTTTCATTTAGTATCCATCCGCTTCTCTCTTTTTAAGCAGAGAGGAGCAGCTATTCAAAACATACTGCATTCATCTTGCAGTTTGTGCATCAGATGTTGTTTAAGATAAGCTATATAATTAAGAGACATAAAGAATATGACTATTTTCTGCTCTCAATTTATAAAGGTTGCAAAAAGGACAAAGGCCGCCACTAAGAACATTTGAATACCCCTATACAGTGCCTGAAAGCAACGTAGACCACAAGTTTTACAGGGATATGGGTGAAATGCAGCTGAATGAAACAGGTATTCTCAAAAGAAGGTCCCCAAGTTACTTAAGGATATCACGTCTTGCAGCAATCATGCAAAATTACTCTATTTATCAGCTTATTAAACAGGATAAGAGCAATGAAATACAGGTGCAGAAGTGGGTACAGGCAGCTATGGAAGGAAGTTGCTCCATTGTCATGTGTGTGTTCACAGCAAAGACCCTTTATTTCAGATTCCCTAAAACACGGCAACAACGCCCCACCTCTTAAAGCACATAGCCACAGGCTGTTTTCCTCCCCAAGGCCTTTTTCTGGCTAAGAATCTGTGTTTTCAGAAGCTAAACCTGTTCTTAGTAAGAGACCTATTAAAACCAGGCCATCATTTCTACATACCGGTTAGCTGTCTGTCTCCACATCCTTCTGCCTGCAGATATCCCAGTTCCGGATGCACCAGGAGTCCCGGGTTGTATCCTTTTTTGCAAGCATCTATCATGCGTGTCTCCAGAGTTTCAAACACTTTCTTCTTTGTGACATGAAGTATTCCAAGATTTGCAAACCTGCCGAATTTTGATCGAGGGAAGTATTTTCTTAATGCTTCATGCCAAACCTGCAGCAGGTACTCTCTCTCTTACCAGAGGCAGCTACACAGCTGAGGTCAATGGAAGGACTCTATAGGCTTACTTAGGCACTATTAATTCTTGAGGGCGAATTTTCCAGCAAGAAAAATTCAGCCAAGCTTACATAACATGTAAAACGCGCACCATTATATGGCAGCAATCATATGGGTGCATGGGATTTTCCCACGGTGAAAGTAGTAATCTATTAGGTTTCAGACTTACACTGTGGAAGCAACTTACAAAACATTTGAAAATCTGGCTGTCACACTTTGTTTGCTCTGTCTTGGCAATGACATTAATGTCATTCTATATGGCTGTTATGCAGAGCAACTGCTTAGAATAAGCTCCATCTGTTCCAAATCATTTGGAGAGCAAGCTAAAAAGCTAAAAACAGTGCAACATTTTCCAAAGGAAGTATTTTAAGCAAGGCTCTGGACATTCAGCAAGACACTTCAGGTATCCATTTGAATGAAAACTTCCATACTACAAGATCTACTTTTGTAAAAATCTCTGGGCACATTTAAAAATCAATTAGATCTGGAAGTTTGAAAACAAGACAATAACTCAATTTTCATGTGGGTCAATTGAGGATAGGAAAGCTGTTTCTAAACAACTGATGAAAAACAAGACAGGTTAGGAAATGAGCCAAACTTTTCAAGATGAAAAGGAGCATTTCAAATAAAGCTATTTAAATTGTTGTGCTTGGTAAAGCTAGTGCACTGGGCTTGGACATCAAAAGTTACAGTTTAAAAGAATCTCTCTCTCCCAACCTTCTCAGCTTTTTAAACTTCATCTTCTTCACCAACAAAGACATTCTTGAGATCACAGAACTAAAACTCACAGCCAGCATGAAACCTGATCTAAGCCTGAAAACGTAGACAGGAGCCTCAGCTCCACTTACTGATATAAACAATTATTCTTTTAAATTAAACAAGAACACACCAACTACAATTTCACTATAATCTTACAGCTTTAAACTTAAAAAGTTTGACTCATTTAGTATTTTCATGTTTATACGTGTCTTGCATTAATTTCAAATTTACTAACCCGTTTTTCTTAACACTTTTCACTATATTCCTATTGGCAGATTTCAGCAAAAGTAAAATATTGATCAAGATGGTAACAAAAGCTTTTCTTCAGTAATTTTACAGTCCCTTCTCTTTGACCAAAACTACTTATATTTTAAAGAATGGGCTTACAATACAAATTTGGACTGTACACCAAGAGAGTGAAACTACAAATTCTAAGTGAAAATTATGTGCTTAAACCTATTTAGCTTGCTTAGGGCAAATTCTACAAAGCTAAACAGAAATGCCATTTATTTTTCTATTTAAGATACAAACAAAACACAGATCAGAGCATGAAGACTAGTGCTCCACTTAGCTGCCTCTAAGTGGTATTTTTGTATTGCTTCTTACAGTGTTTGTATTTGATTGTCTCTCCCTTAGTCCAGCTTTACAAATGAGTTGACACTTACCCTACAACCATATCTTTAGGTCCTGCATTAACCGTGCATACTCCGTCTTCACAAAATTTACCCACCAAGCTGTGAGCATGTAAGTGGACGTACTTCCCATTAGTAACTAACTGGACAATTACTTTTGCAGGTCCAACATAATTACAGATCTGTAAATAATATTAAAAAAATATAGGGTTGGGGTTTTTTTCATGGAACAAGTAATGATTCCAGTTGAGTATTTTTCTGTCAGCTAAGTACAATCAAGCCTACATAGGAGAAACGTATATGCATTTTCTCTTGAAATACAAATGACGAACTAACTGTACCAGATTATCACAAAGAAAAGCCAACACTTTTTTCTTTAATTAAACTTGACATAAAAGTGGCAGGAGCAGTGGCCAAAAAAGTTAAGAAATAAAAAAAAGCTAAAGGAAAGCAACCTTCTGTTTCCCAAATCATGAATCTCAATTTTACATTCTGGCCAGTTACTCCACATTGCTCTCCTTAAATTTCAATCAGTACATTGATTTCATAATAAACATTGTTACATGTTAAGAAGCATATAGAAAATGTACATATTTAACAAAAAAGCCTGCATTATTTTGCCCAATTTGAAAACACTTAAAAATTATTTTTATTATGACTGTTTTAAAACATTTTGGCCTCATTACAATGACTCTTCAGGTAGAGATTTTAAAGTTAATTATTTCTATATTCATAGGTATTTTGTGAGTTCAATATGCTACATCAACACACATTATCCAGTCCAGTAAATATTTCCCTTAAGGGTACATGAGGATATTCGCTAAATCCCCACCTAAAATTTTGCAGGACTGGAGCTATGATAAACCGGGTGCCTTAATATAAGCCAACTCTGGAGGACTACAAACCCTTTCTTCCCTGTTTAGTTTCTAATCACTGTACATTTTTTAATAGCTTTTAAAATTGTGATGTCAAGTAATGCCTCAAAAACAAACCTAAAATTGCTAATAACATACCATATTGGTAAGTTATTTGCTTTACATATATTATTTAGAGCTTTATTTTCTTTCCTCACAAGTAATACTCTTCAAGTCAGTTATTGGTTACTCACCACTTTCAAATTATGCTGAACACAAAATCACTTTTAAAAAAGCAAACATTACCTTCCCTTCCAATTCACTTAATTAACCCTTTTATCAAGGTTGGGTTTTTTTTCCCTCCTCCTCTAATTTTTCTTCTAATTTGCCTTGGGCAAAGTTCTTTGTATTACAGCAGCTTATAGATCTAATCAACCAAGCTATTAAAGGATGACGATAAACATTAAAGTGATGAATCAGTGATGAACTGAATACTTAAGGTTATATTGTTGATAAAATGCCGATAACCAGGGATTGCCACGATTTCACCACATTACTAAGTCCTCCTAGCTTCCTTCACTCCAGTTAACCCCTCTCTTGAACCCATTCCATCACAGCTGAAACACTGCATATGTACAACGCGTGCCCTATCTTCCCATTCACTGCTAAAAGAAAAAAAAAATCCCAACTATTAAGAAGCTGTTCCAGAAGGAACAGGTGTGCAAAGGTCCTCTCATTACTCACTGCCTGCTAGTTAACTGTATAGTACTATATCAGTGTGCATTTTACAAGCAGCAGTTTCTAAGACACAAAACATGGTGTACTCATGCTTCCTCCTGCTTCCAAATTGTAATCCCACCTGGACTGAAACAATACAAAGATGCAGAATAATCACCACTTCACCATTCCCACCATTTACCAGCAGTGAGAAAATAGAGGGATCCCTAGGTAACTTTCACAAAGTCACCTGAAAATAAAAATGATTGTGCTGGGTGCTACATGTCACCACCACTACTACAATCAA